TTCTTCATATTTGTAGTGATACTGGTCGTGTAGGCACAGTAGGGACACTTCATGACCTTGCTGATTGAAGGAACACCCTTTTTCGCTCCTGCAGTCCCTCTCCCACCAGTCCTTTGATCGTCATTGTCCAAGCCTACCTGTAGAGGACGCCCATCTTAATATAATTACAGGTAATACGCTTAACATACTTGTTTAATATCTTACTGCCATGTAACTATGAATATTGAAAAATACTATAATTGCATTTAAATTAACAAAAATATAAACTTAAATCTTTCAGTGAACTTAAATACATAGACAACAACACTTTCTTACCCTTCCCCAGGTTTATAACATTGATATCTGTACATAACTTTATTTCCACTTAATACCAAGAGTACTGTACATTTATATTATTTAAGTGACAAAAATTCAGAAATAAAGCTCCCCTTCAAAAATACATTTCACTTTAAATGTCTTATGTTTTTTCAACAAAAGTATAAATTTGTGTGTGTGTGTGCGTGTGTGTGTGCGTGTGTGTGTGCGTGCGTGCGTGTGTGTGTGTGTGTGTGTGTGTGTGTGTGTGTGTGTGTGTGTGTGTGTGTGTGTGTGTGTGTGTGTGTGTGTGTGTGTGTGTGTGTGTGTGTGTGTGTGTGTGTGTGTGCATGTGCATGCATGTATACATGTCTGTGTATACAATATAAACAAGTAAGTAACATGCATTTATCATATAAAAAATCAAACATTAAACAATCTTTTGATTGGTCTGACATTTACTATACCTCCAAGATATTCAAGACAGCATAATACAAATTACTGAAGTTGATGAGTTAACATGTGATTTTTCAAAGAGTCTTTCCTTGACGAACGATGTGGACAATATGAACATGCATAGGGTTTCTCTCCAGTGTGGGTACGAATATGAGATTTCAGTCTATCCTTTGTAGCAGAGCAAAAGGAACAGTAGGGGCATGAATATGGCTTCTCTCCAGTATGAGTTCGCATGTGATTTCTTAAACTTGTGGTAAATTTTGTATTGTAAGTGCAGTAAGGACACTGGTGAGTCTTGTAGAAATGTGGCACTTCCATGCTAGGTCCTGTAACTCTTCTGCCATCCCTCAGGTCATCACTGTCCATCCCCACCTGTTGGGAATGCCCAGCTTACTTACACAGGAAAAAAGTAAAGGAAAGTAAAAAGTGACAAATCAAAACTTTGCTGTTTCAGCCACTTTGTACAGCCCATTATATTGTTCTTTAAAAGATAATATCCCGAGTAAAAGACGTAAAAAAAAAAATCAAGTATTTCTTTCCTAATTATGGAATAAACAAGAGCATTGTTAAAGACTGTTTGATATGTATTTTCTGATATACTATATTCAGTAATATTATAGGTAGGTGTTTAGGCTCACACCGGGAACTGAATGTATGCTACATAAATATAAAAAATAATCCAATTTTCTTGCAACTCTTCTCTAAAAAAAATTATATAGTCTCTTGCAATATAACATATGTAATGCTGCTGGAAACATCATACTTTTCTAATCTATTACCATTTTACAAGACGGTCATCTGCCTACCATCAATATAACAAAGAGTATTATTAGTTGAAACTTTTAACACATACATATAATTCCCTTTTTTCCTTTTGGCATATGCTTCATATAATTAGTTTCCCTTCACAAACATGCATTCATCCAAAAAATATAATGATTTTTGTGTCCTTTTCTAGCAGAAATTTAATCACTGGCATATATATATTTTTTCTTACCCCATACTTTTAATCATCTGCTAACTTCTTAATCATCATACGTCTAAAAATGATGACTCAGGATATGGCTCTTCAGAGTATCTTTTCTTGAGGAACAATAGTCACAATGAACACACTTAAAGGGCTTTTCACCAGTGTGGGTACGAATATGTTTCTGCAGATTAGCCTTGGTTGTAGAACTAAAAGGACAGTAAGTACAGTAAAAAGGTCTTTCGCCAGTGTGGGTCCGAATGTGATTTTTCATGCTGGTAGCAACATAGGTGGTGTAAGTACAGTTGGGACACTCATACATCTTGTAGTTGGAGCTGGTCAACATTCGTGATGTGGAACTCCTTCTTCTATTCTTCTCTTCAGTACTGTCCAGTCCAACCTGTTGGGAGTGCCTAATTTACTCATAATATCAAGCTTCAGCAAAATATATTAAAAGTACTGGTAGTATATTGGACAATAGGGATTATTTAACAAAGAATGTGGACATTCAGTGGTAAACATCATGACTTACTTTGTATCTTTCTGTCACAATAATACATAAAGGTTACAGTGTGTCAAGGAATATTTTTCAAATTATTATTCATTTTCTTTTATTCATCATTGAGAATGTTAACATATCTCATTCAGTTTTCTGAACAGTATTTAAACAATATAAAATGCTGTTCAGTACAGAAAAACAAATTAATGTAAAACTAAAACCAATGCCTGAGAATATAAATACCTTCAAAACAATTGTTTAATATGATAAGAAACCTAAATATG